TGTTGTTCTTGGCAGTAAAATGTCTTGCAGGTCAAGGGGGTTGAATAATTTTGATTGCAACTGTGTGTATATATACATATATATATTTATATACTTTACACTTTACATTTGAGCCCCTGTCCTGAGAAACTCTCTGCACATCCCTGTATACATTGGATTGATTTTAATACCTTTATAACTAATGATCTTGAAGTATGCGCAAACACTAAGAAACACTCCGGTTACTAACATAACCTCAGTTTCCTGAGATAACGGGAAGGGGTATCCCATTGACATACATTGGGGAAACTCCTGTTTACTCCAAATACTGAAGCCTCATTTGTTAACGTTTGTGTAGCTTTGCATTTCAGCCCGCCAAAACAGGTGGAACCAACTGCCTATATAAGTTGAATGCCTTTCATCAGAATCTTTTGACTGATAAGCGACAGCGTGCAGGCAGCTTAAAGGGATAGTTCACCCAAAAATGAAAATTTGTCAGTGTTTTACTCACCCTCGAGGCATCCTAAATAAAACGTCCCTCACACGGTTCCGGGGGGGTGAATAAAGGCATCCTGTCGCGAATCCATGCATTTTTGTAAGATAAATATCCATATTTCAAACGTAATAAACACTTTTCTCTCATATGTATGTTATAGGTATTCTGTCATACGCGGAAGCCGTTCCGGCGGATGACGTAAGACGTCTGCGTTGCGTGATTAGTGACGAACGCGGAGACAAAACAAAACGCCGTTCACGAATTCGAAGCACAAAACGAGGATTTGTAAAGAAAAATGTCGGAGGATTTGGATATAAGCAAAGAGGAGACTGGTTTTCCTTTGCTAAAGTGAGGAAATTTGTTTCCTTTGCTCCTGCATTTCTCAGAGGCGCGCGCACGACGCATACGTCTTACGTCATCCGTCTGCATGTCTTCCGCGTACCACAGTCAGTGGAAGTGAGAAAAAAGTGTTTATTACGTTTGAAATATGGATATTTTTCTTTCAAAAATGCATGGATTCGCTACAGGAGGCCTTTATTCACCCCCCGGAGCCGTCTGAGGGACGTTTTATTACGGATGCGCGCACTTTATTTCACGTCTTCTGGACTGTTGACAACAAGCACCCGCTTACCCCCATTGTAAGGCTTGGAGGGACCAGGACAATTTTAAATATAATTCCGACTGGATTCGTCTGAAAGAAGAAAGTCATATACACCTAGGATGCCTCGAGGGTGAGTAAAACACAGGCTAATTTTCATTTTTGGGTGAACTAACCCTTTAAATAGCATGGTTGTGTATGCAATGCTCGTTATCTCAGGGAACCAAGGTTACATTAGTAACGAGCGTTCCCTTTTGAAACGGTCTCTATTGCGTGAACACGCTTTGGGCAACAAGTCCAATAGTGCTGTGTTATATACAAAGTTCTGGCACGAAACTCTAGATGGCGCAGTCCGATAGATCTAAACTAATGACATCATCATCATGTCACAGCTGATTGGTTCTCTCCTGTATCGGTAGCCAATGAGCTCGCTGCACAACATTCAAATATATGGGTGATTCTATAATTGGAGATACATTTGGCATTGCAGAAAGTTTAGAAAAAAAGCTTTCAGTAACAGATTTTTTTTTTTCAGCATCTTATTATAATTTCAGCAGCGTGCAGATCCTCGTTTATGTCAGACTGTGGCGACGGCAGCGCGGACAGTCGCTTAGCTCGCTTACATAATGTACCATATAGCCTATCTATAATAACGGGAAAACATGTGGCTTTTATGACATAATATGTCATTACGAGAAAAAATTTTGTTGTAACGAGAAAAGATGTAGTTTTAACGAGAAAAGATGTCGTTTTAACGAGAAAACATCTCGTTATTACGAGAAAAGATGTCGTTTTAAGGAG